TTCACTTCAATACATTTTCAGTGGAACGAATATAAGTTATTTATACGGATTTTTACCCGACTGCCTTAGAAGGAGGGGTCGTGTTTTTCGCGTTATATGTATCAAGGATCCAAAAAATTCATTTTCACAGGCTACAGGCCAAGGGTTTTGACAAGCGAGGTGTCGTTGGATTCGAATTAGAAGTGCGAGTGACAGAGGCTATATTAAAATTTTATTAAAACGAATTATAATAATAAAACAAAACCTGAAAATTTTTGTTTCACACGCTTTTAGCTAGGACGGCGTGGTGGATTCTGGCATATGTGGTATCTCTACATTTGTCTAGCAAGTAACACTGGGTATACTAAAATTTTATAAAAAAGAGCGGATTTTAACAAAAAGTCTTCTCTTTGCTTATTTTTGGCGATGTGAGAGATGGGGAGAATCTAGATGATGGTTACGTCAGCAATATCTATTTTTTTACTTTTTCGGATTATTCCCGTTTCCCCTGTATCCCCCTATAGCCCCACGGTACCCAATGGATGTTTAGGCCTTCGTGGTAGTTGGAGTATAAAAAAATCCAAAAAGTTTAGTCCATCTTGATGTGAAAACTCGAAAGCGAACCGCATCTGCAAGGATTATCCAAATAATATAGATACTAATAACCGAGTAGAGCGCAGAAAGCTCCTCTTAGTCGGAAACTGGTTTGATACTGCCTCATGACCATTTTGGTTCTCTTTGGAAGGATATGGCGCACCAAACAGTCACCTTTGGACTATGTAGCTGTTGTTGCTGTTTCTCTTTTGGGTTCGTTGGTGCCCAATGTCTGCAATTTTCCTTGTTCACAAAATCGTCTATGTGAAAATGGGCCTCTTCACTGAAAACAACGTTCTCGAGTCTGCGTAGTAAAAAGATTCAACAACCGTTCAGCACTAGATTTCCGTAATACGTAATCACTTTCCTTTAAAGCATGGACTAATTGGAATTTATAAGGACTTTTTTTTTCGTTATGCTATGCAGTGTTGACCTAGGGGTTCCCAAAGCAGCAGAATGCTTCCGTACAGAACGCCGAGGATTTGCAATGACCGAATCACTTACTCGACGCACATTTTCTTCGGTTGATGGGGCCAGGAATGCGTTGACTAAGAGTAGAGTCTGTATCACGGAACCTCTTAATCCAATTTTTCAATAGGTTCTTACTTGGGGCATCTTTTGTTCGGCGAATGTTGTATCGTGTACAAAACTTCCGAAGGGCAGCTGCGTATGAATCACCACTCTTAAAGTAAGCTTCTATAGCAAAAGCACGTTGCGCTCCGGTCCAACGTTCCATTGCGATTATTTAACCCGCACGCCGAACGCGCCGATCAAGACCCCTTCCCACATCCTCGCGTATACGGTTGCCGCGTAATGCAAATTTGTAATGTGAACTTTCCCACTGGACACCCTGTATATTGGTTCAGGCGAGCCAGTACTTCCTGATTTTCCAGACAGTAAATAGTATTTAGAATTCAAATTGTACAAAATTTTTACGTAAGCATGTTAGGGGGGATTAGAGATTTGCTGACAAGCGGGAGGGGAGGAGGATTAATAGTTGTGAAAAATCTGCTTCCGTAATAGGTAACCAAATAAGTTCGTGCGGCTTTTAGTAGAAAAATATAAATTTTTATTAAGAAACAATAAGACACTATTTATTCGTCGAAGTAGTTACCATCACATTCAATGACGTTTTGCCAACGTGGAACCAATTTTTGTATGCCGGTATTGTAGAACTCCCTGGATTTGGAGTAAAAAAATTGGCGGACTGCATTTATTACACCATCTCGAGATGTGAACTGTCGGTGCCTCATACAGTTGTCAAGAGACATAAAAAGGTGATAAACACTGGGCGAAATGTCGGGAGAATAACGTTTCCTAGCCGAGTTCAGCAATTTTTTCTCGGGTCACTTTTGCGATATGAGGCTTGGCGTTATCCAGCAAGAATATCACTTTCTTCCGATTGATCAAAGAAGGCTGTTTCTGGATGAGTGCTGCTTGTACTCGTTGAAGCTGCTCACAATACAAGTTAGCAGTGATGGTTTGATCCATTTCCAAAAACTCATAATGGACAATTCCGGTTGCTGTCCACCAAACACACAACAAAACCTTGTTTGGGTGCAAGGAAGCCTTGGGCGTGTGTGGTACCGAATCAGTAGGCGACAACCAATGATACGAACGCTTAAAATTCCAATACAAGATCAATTTTTCGTCGCAGATTAATAACCAATTAAGAAATGGTTCATTAGCGTTGCGTGAAATGTGAACAAATGGTAAGACGACTTAATTTGTTATCATTTGTCAGTTCATGTGCTTAACTTCCACGTCGTTCCTAGCTGATGAAGGTGCAAACGAATAGTTTCAGGACTCACTCTGAACATGTCTGCAAGTTCTTGGCACGTTGTCCTGGAATTTGCGTCCACAAACTGTCGAGATCCTCGTTGTTCATGGTTTTTGGTCTCCCTGAGCGCGGTTCATCGCTCAAACTGAGATCTTTCGAAGAAAATTTTTGGAACCACTTCTGTGCTGTTCGATCACTAACGGCATCATCTCCGAATGCGGTACATATTTTTCGCGCCGCCGCTACAGCTTTTGTACCAAGTTTGTAGTCATACAGTAAACAACTTCGAATTACTGTTTTATTCGTCGCCATTTTCAATTACTAAAACTAGGTATGTAACAATTTTCAGCAAGTTTTTGTGTGTGTGAGAAAAGAAGGATTCATACTAAAGTGACAACAGGTAACAAACAATCGCTATCCGTCAACAACATCCATGGCAATGTGCGATATACAGCAACCGCACGAACTTATTTGGTTACCTGATACTTGAACGGGTCTCTAGATTTCTCTTGATAGCACAATTAACTCTTCATTCTTTTCGGTCGCTGCAGTCGGATTATTTGTATTTTTTAAAAATGTACTTGCTGAAGATCTAGTGTTTATGATATACAGGGTTATCCAAATTAAGTGTCCACCATTAGTAACTTTGTTATTAGTGAAAATACAAAGTTGTTTGAATTAGCAAACTAGTAGCATTTTTAACGCTGGTAAAAATGAGAAATAAAAAAAAAACAATTGAGAGTCGTTATTTTGATTTTTTTCAGTAAAATAACATTTTTTTAAATGGAAACCCCTGTGTATTATATTTTTTTCTGTTAAAGCATCAAATTTTAAACAAAAAAGTTCATAATGACTTTTCCGCTAAAGTCAAAAATAAAGTCAAAATAACGATAAATATTTTTAATTATTTGCAGTATTATAATATTAAGACGGCTATGAAAACAACATGGCGTTCGCGATTTGACAGCATTAAGATAAGCGACAAATTGTTAAACTGGACATACTCGCACCTAGAAGGCTTTGGAAAACAATGATAAAATCAAATAATGTCAAACATTAGTGTAAATACTTGTTTATAAGCTTTATTGTGTCATTAATTTAATGAAAAATGTTCTCCCATGAAGAAAAGTGTGATATGTTAGAATGCTATTTAGTGTGCAGAAAATCCTCCTTGAGAGCAAGAGAATACTACAGTGAATTATATCCCGCTCGCATTCACCCGTATGAACGATATTTTCTGAGACTTTATCGAAAATTTAGTGGCAACGAAAATGTTTTTGCTAAAACAAGGGCAAAAAAAGAATTCATAATAAGCGAGGCCACGGAAATTGCAGTTATTGGATATTTTGAAGCTTATCGTGAGAATTCAATAGCAGATATTCTCAAGGACTCTAATTTCAGTTATGGTACTGTTCAAAGGATTTTAAAAAAATACAAATTTATTCCGTATAAGTACCGACCAGTTCAAAGGCTTTTGGCAGGGGATCCAGAGAGAAGACTTGTTTTTTGCCATTGGTATCTTAGCTTCTGTCGCCAAAATGTAAATAACTTTCGTTACCTTTTATGGACAGATGAATCAAATTTTTCAAATTCTGGAATGTTTAATAGAAAAAACCACCATTATTGGTCAAGAGAAAATCTTTTGTTAGTACATCCAAGAGGCCCACAAGTCCGTTTCAGTTTCAACGTTTGGTGCGGTATAATTGGTTCAAAAATTGTTGGCCCGTTCTTTTATGAGGGAACCCTAACTGGTGAAAGATATGTGGAATTTATGTCAGAAATTCTGACTAATTTCTTAGACGAATTGGATCCTATAAGTAGACATCATCTGCATTTTCAGCAAGATGGCGCATCTGCCCACAACTCCAGAGGTACTTATCATTTTCTAAGTACTACTTTTAATGATCAGTGGATAGGAACAAATGGCCCAATACAGTGGCCTCCCAGATCACCAGATCTAAACCCACTTGATTACTTCTTGTGGGGTTACTTAAACAACCAAATTTACAAGCGAAGGTACGATAACCTTGACGCGTTAAAGACTGCAGTTAGGGAAAAGATAACCCAGATAGATGGTAGGACCATACTTAAGACAGTTCGAGCAGTTGAAAAACGTGCCCAAAAATGTATTGAAGAACAAGGTGGTGTTTTCGAGCATCTTCTTTAAAAAAAATTGTTATTGTATTTTGTAAGATTATAAGTTGATGTTGAAAATAAAGTTTGTCGATACAATTTAATTGTTTCAGATTGGAGGCCATAACTTCAACAATTTGTAACCTAGGAGAAAAGTTATTGTAAGCTTTTTTGTTTAAAATTTGATGCTTTAACAGAAAAAAATATAATATACAGGGGTTTCCATTTAAAAAAATGTTATTTTACTGAAAAAATCAAAATAACGACTCTCAATTGTTTTTTTTTTATTTCTCATTTTTACCAGCGTTAAAAATGCTACTAGTTTGCTAATTCAAACAACTTTGTATTTTCACTAATAACAAAGTTACTAATGGTGGACACTTAATTTGGATAACCCTGTAGAGTTCTCGACTATACCAGCAATAAATTTCACTGCAGTCTTTTACAAATTTCATAAACCATTTTATTTTTTCGATACCTGTATAGGGGTTATTGAGTTGAAAGAAGAACTTACCATCCTGGAAGACCCGTTCAACGTTCAATCCGTACGTAGCGCAGGTTTCGTAATAGGTACACCTCTTCAGATCATTGCACAATCTGTGCACGCGCGTATCGTCAATCACGCGGGGACTGCTCTCGCTTATTCCATCTGAAAATATTAGAAAATGTGTAATAATAGAGATTTATGTTATATAGGAATTTATCATACAAATATATTTGGATATATTCAAACCATGTAGGCATATTGAATTGCAGTCTTATCTTGCATACTAGCTATCTACCTTTAACTAGCTCTAGAACTTTTCGTCAATTTCATTAGTTTCCCAGTCGAGAAAAATTGCTGCTGTGTAATCTAATATTTCCTGAGGTCGGCCAGATTTGTGGAGCTAATTGGTGAGATCCTTCCATCATCTAACACTATTTTGAGACCGTAATACCAAATTGACAATTGTTGACAAATTCATTCTGTCAAAGTGAACTTTATGAGAAATTGATATAAGGAGTGTTCATATGCAATATGCCCAAAAAGAAGAAAAATGAATGCGAAAACGAAACTCTAGAACCAAATATTCAAATTAGCGTAAGTGAAAAGAGTACCAAAGAAACTATTGTCAAAGAGAATTATTATCTTAAACAGCTTTTGGAAGAAAAGGAAAGATTTATATATCAGTTGGTAAATGAAAACCGTAGACTACAGGACGCATATGACTTGATTTCTGCCAACATAGTAGAGAAGGAATCCGTTGTATCTACTTTGGCTATTGTAACTAATCAACTAGAACAACTTGAGAAAAGAACGCCAGAGAATACATCATACTCACAAATTTTAAAGCAAAATACTCCTAAAATCAATAGCAACAACAAGAACAACAATGACATGAAATCCATATTAGTTACTCCCGAAAGGACCCAACATTATAATGACACCAGAAAAGACCTAACTAGTAACATTAATCTAGCAAGTATTGAAGTCAAGATAGAGAAAGTAAATAATTATAAAAACAGCGGCGTCGAAATTCAAGTTGAGCAATGTTATTACCAAAAACTCAAACATGAACTAGAAACTAAGTTGAAGGGAAAATACAATATATCAGGAGCAAGAGAAATGAGACCGAAAATTAAGATCATAGGCTACAAAACTGAAAAAAAACCTTCAGAAGCAGAAATTAAAGAAGAAATCATATCCCAAAATACATTCATTAATGAAAACGAAATCGAAATCACTTTTGTACGACACATACCATTCCGAAATTCTTATACTATATTCGCTGAAGTTTCTGGAGAGCTATATAGAGACATATTTATCAACAAGAAATCAAGAATACTACTAGGTTGGCAAAACTTATTTGTCTATGATAATAACCAGATATCGCAGTGTAGAAAATGCTTGAAGTTTGGTCACACAGACAAAAAATGTAGGGGCGCGGAAATGTGCATTAAATGTGGACAAGCACATAGAAGTGAAATTTGTACTGTAAACATTTTAAAAAGTTCTAACTGTATGAACTATAACGTTAAGCATAATAAGAATAATGATGTTGGTCACTCGCCCACAGACAAAAAATGCCCGTCGTATTTATATTTTCAAAAACAGTATTCATCCAGAATAATGTTTTGAGCGTTTAGTTCTTTTTACGTTTTTCGAGCTACATATCATTTGCAAAATTTTACATGGATAGTTACGTAAATAATTTTCAGGTTAATGATATCAATACAAATATTGCTCAAGACGCAAATGCTCTTAATAAATGGTTAGAATATTCTAATTTCAATGTTAGCTTATATCACATGAATATACGAAGCCTAAACCAAAATTTTGACTGTTTTAATATCTTCCTAACTACAATTAATCACAAATTTGATATAATAATGTTAACAGAAACTTGGAAAATTAATGATGTATCTTTGTTCTGTTTGGAAGGTTATGATACGCTTTACAATAATGGTACGTACAACCAGAATGATGGGGTGGTAGTATATGTAAGAAATGATATCAACTACAGATGTGATTTTGTTAAATTTGATGACGGTATCACAGTGTTGGATTTGATATTGAGAATTAATAACAAAAGTGTAAAAGTCACATCTGTCTATCGACCACCATCATCAAACCCTTATACATTTGTAGAAAATCTTGAAAAATTTTTGTTAGATAACAAAAATGCCATACAGTCACACCACATCATAATAGGAGATATAAATATTAATATACTCCAACATACCAAATTAGTAAACAAATACCTCACTGTAATGCAGAGCAATGGATTCATATCAAATATAAATTTACCAACAAGAGTAGTCAATAATAGTTCCAGTTCTTGCATTGATCATTGTTTCATCAAAAATTTTTCAAATTTCTTTCGGTACATACCGTTAATTGTTGAAAACCATATTACCGATCATTTACCCACTGTAATACTTATATCATCACCAGAAAAAATTAAAGTAGATCCATCTCCAATAATGAAACAGTGAAATTTAGGTGTTTTGTCGATAATAAAAAACTACTTGCAAATATCAAATTAGAATCGTGGACAGCAGTGTACTGTGCAACGAATGTTAATGATGCTGCAAACACACTCATTGAACGCATAAAATATTTAATTGAATGTAGTACAAACAGAGTTAAAATTAAACATTTTGACAGAAGCAGGAATCCCTGGATAACTAAAGGTTTGATAAAGTCTGCCAACAAAAAAGAGGAACTATACAAAATAATGAAAGCATCGCCATGTGCAGATACCTCCCATAAATATAAAGAATATAAAAATATTTTTATCAATCTAGTTAGAGAAGCAAAACGCCAATTCTATCTAAAAAAATTACAAGATGCCAAATCTGATCCAAGAAAACTGTGGTCAGTTGTCGATCACTTAACTAACAAAGACGTTCAAGAAAAACCAAATATTGATGAAATTAAGAATCATGATGGAACAATATTAACAGATAAACGACAAATATCCGATGCATTCTTAAATTTTTTCACTAATGTTGGAGAAAATTTAGCATCCAGTATTAAAAAAATGGTTTCGAACGAAAAGTTCACAAAAACCCAACTTCCCAATTCATTCTTTTTAGAAAGCGTTAGTCCGATTGAAGTACAAGAAGCTGTCCTATCACTTAAAACCAAAAAAAGTCCTGGTGTAGATGGTATCAAAGCTGAGCATTTGAGAATAATAGCCTACGACTTAGCCGAACCACTTTCTTACGTCATTAATTGGTGTTTCCAATCTGGAATTTGTCCTGATGCATTTAAAACAACTGTTATTACTCCTGTTTATAAAGGCGGTGACAGAATGGAAACATCAAATTATAGACCCATATCAGTACTATCGAATATAGCCAAAATTTTCGAAAAATTACTACAAAAAAGGATATTACAATTTTTGGACAAAAACAAAATTATATGTTCTGACCAATATGGATTTAGAAAAGGAAAATCTACTACAGATGCAATTTTGGCTGCAATGGATGAAATTAACTCTAATGTCAACAAAAAGATACCTACTATTGGTATCTTTGTTGATCTAAAAAATGCCTTTGATACGGTTAACCATGTCGAGCTTCTGAAAGTTATGGAAAGATTGGGATTTAGGGGAGCGTCACAAATCCTTTTAAAAAATTACCTTTCAAGTCGGGCACAGACTGTCAAAATCACTAACACTTACAGTAAAAAAATGTACATCAAGTGTGGTGTGCCTCAAGGAACAGTACTAGGCCCACTATTATTTAGTCTCTACTTAAATGACTTATTCAAAATTAACAGTTCTGGAAAGACTATATGTTTTGCAGATGACACCCTCGTATTATATAAATCTGATGACTGGAGCACACTGAAGCAAATAGCTGAAAAGGATTTTATAAGGATCATTGACTGGTTTGATACTAAAATTTTAACAGTTAACTTCAAAAAAACAAAATTTATTACATTTACATCCTATTCAAAATTTTTACCTACCTTCGAACAAATTTCCGTTAATTATCATGGGCAAAAGACCAAAATCGATAGAGTTAACACTTTGAAATATCTTGGAATATTTATAGACTCACATCTAAGGTGGGATAACCATATTAAATATGTTATCAAAAAAATTAGAAATGTTGCCTATAAACTCAAAATGCTTGCTAACATTCTTACAGAAAGTTATCTGCGAATCCTATACCATGCCTTAGTTGAAACCCATATAATATACGGCATCACAGCCTGGGGTGCCGCCTGCAAGACATATATTTCTGACCTGAATATAGCACAAAAAAACTGTTTTGAAAGCCATTTTCCATAAGCCAAGATTATATCCAACGAACAACTTATATCAAGAAACAGGGATACTTGATACAAGACAACTTTATTTCTTACATGCCACCACCTTATACCATAAGTATTGTAATAAAAAGAAAAAATCCTATAAACACGAGCATAACACACGATTTCGAATAGGCTCATCTAATATCCAAAGACCACACAAAACATTATTCAAAAAATCATTTAAATTCTTAGCAGCTAAATTATATAATGTAGTACCAAACGAAATAAAGATACTTAATTTTGGAAAAAAATTTAGAAGAAAATTGAAAGACTGGGTTAGTAATGTGCAGCGAATGACTATACATAATTATATAGAAAACTAAAACTACAAAATTCCAATTATATTAATACCTTTTAGATTTAACAATAATTGTTATACACATATATGATTGATTGTTAGTTATTAAGATATAAACCACACACAGGCGATGCCTTCTGTGGTTTTTTCATATTTATTTGCCCATTTTTTGTATTTTGGCGAATAAATATTATTATCATATATAAAAAATAAAGTCAGAACCGTTAGAGCAGTATTTGAGCTTTTTATTAGATTGCAGCAATTGGACATGTCCGTATACAGTAGCCACATTTCTTTGGAGGTCTGACATAATACTGTTTGTCAGCAATGTTTAATAACTGATTATAATCGCTATACCATATAATATTACCTCACGAAATCATGTAACCTCATTAAATTACACTCAACTCGTATATATAGTTAATATCGCGCCCACCTCGTATGTGAATATCGCGTCACCGCGCGTACTGCTACCTGCTTTATAAGAACGTGGCCACGGGAAGTGCGACTCGATTGGTACGCGAACAGTCTGCTGTAGATATTT